TTCCTGGCGGGATAAGTCATATGCCGCCTCAAAGATTCCCATCCGAGGAATTAGGTCTTAAGAATGATAATAATGTGATATACGCTTACGACCAACAACAAATCACCTCTAGTAGCTCATATGATCAAGGAAAAAACAATTATGGTAGTGATGACGTAAACTCGCCAAAGCAGTTGCCACCTGAATTTAATGAAAATCACCACGAAGTGCATGATAACGGGCGAGAGAAATTGGATAGCATATATGACGATTACGTCTCGTCATATCTTAACGAGAATGATGATGAATTACGCTCACCAGAGCGTCATCCTGAATCATCTGTTTCTGATAGTCTCACCCCGAGTAATGTTGAACAAGAGGAAGATGAAGGTCTTTGCTAGATCTAGATTTCGGATCATTTACTAGGTGGTGGAATCATTGTAATGAATTCTCGGATCCTAGAATTTTTAAATTGAGAATTGTTTTTTTACGCCTTGTTTATTTATTTTTAAATTACACAGGTGTTTTCATGAAATTTTTTTAAAAAAAAAAATACGCTGCCTCGCGCAGCGAGAAAAACATGGACAGTTTTTTATGACGCTGTCAAAAACATTACATATAAATACATATTTAGTTTTTATTAATAACATTATTTGAAATACTCGTCTTATAATCTTTAGAGCAATCAAAAATTCAATTCCTGATAATTATTGCCATGCAATAAAAAAAAAAAAAATTATTTAACCTATTAATCGTAAAAGAAATAAAATTATCGTTTAATAAATCATTTCTTATACATAAAGTTAAATGCGTTTTTGTTTATTATAAATATATTAATAAAATATATTTATACCATATACAGTATATGCATTTTATCAGTTATACAGTATAATATAAATTTATAATCAAATATGATATCTTTTTTAAATTATTTGCAATGGAAAAGTAATTATTTTCTCTTTTTATTATGTTTTGCGCGTACGCGATTTTAACTGCAGGGAATTAAAAAACTTTTGTAATAAAGAATCACTAGGACAATTAAATATTGTTCTTCACCTAAAATTCATTTAAAATAATAGCTAGTTTATACTATTCCAACAATTTTTTTTTCTAAACAATAAAAAATCTGCATTTGAACATGAAATAATTTTTGCATCCATAAAACTTTTCAGCAAGAGAATGTCCCGCATACTACTGATTGCTATTAGATATTTTTGATTTAAAATGTTGGTTATTGTGTGGTGTCGAGTTTCTAGACCTTGGAAGTATATAATGATAGAACAGCAACCAATACGAAACCCCCAGAGTAGTACCAGTTAGATTTTCCAGGAAGGAATGAAAATATATAGCTGTCATAAATAACATCCACCACCAAAGAATAAGAAGAGCCACCATAAAACGGTTCGATACATTCTTGTTTTTCTGATGGTATAAAGGAACAACCTCTTCCCAAAGAAAAAGAGAAGCATGAATTAGAAATAAGCAGTGTCCACTAACGTCATGTCCACCGTACCAATGACCATTTCCCTTTTTGCACGTGTACGCCTCAGACAGTGAAACATCCGAACACCTTCCACCCGTTATGACAAAGAACCTATCAATTATACTCGGTCCAAAAAATTCCTGTGTTATAATGTACCAATAAGCCGTTGCGGATAGCCATCGAAAGAATGCGTTAACTTCCAGGCCCCGGCACCAAAAAAATAAAATCGAAGTCCAAAACCAGCCATTTTTTACGAAGTACTTATTGAATGGATTAGACTTTTGAGACCATAAAGATTCATTTGGAGAGGCTATAGCCCAGTATATAAATCCCAGTATCACTGTTCCGACATAAATTGTGAGAAGAAATAACTTTTTCGTATCCCCTTCTAATATAAATTGAAGAGAATCGTCCGATTTGATTGAAGGTGTCTCTTTGGGTTTGGGCATTCTTTCATGAGGTTCAGATCATCTCTCAACTGAACAATTCGAATCACATTTAGAGATTTTTATTTTCGATATTACGTATTTTATCACGTGTGCATTTCAATTTCATAAAATATGTAAAAAAAATAAATTATAAACAATAATACATTACATCTGGATACTTTTTATAAAATTTGAAGTTTTTCAAAATAAAGAATTCTAAAAAACTTATATTTTTATTAAAAATCTCTAAAACAAAAAAGTTAATATACAGTATAAATTCTAAAAATCTTTAATTTATTAAAGATTTTTAAAAGTTTATTTATTATTTTTAAATATATTTCAAACAAATTTTACTTTTTAATAAAATACTTTAAATTATAGTAGTATTTTATTATTTATTTTTATTATTATTTATTTATTATTTTTTTAAATTATCAAAGCTCACTTTATTATAATAAAACTACTTTATAAATTTTTTAAAAATCTATTCAATGTTATTTATATTTCATAATTAAAATTAGTATACCTAAAGTTTCATTAATATGTTTTTTTTATTACTTATAATTTTTAAGATTTTATTTATGTTTTTATATAATAATAAGAAAAAAAATTATTAAAATAGAAGTAATATTATTTTTAACAAATAAAATCTATCTAACTTACTAAATTTATTAGAAATTATCCTTTATCATATCTATAGTTAAATATTACTATTTGATTTTTATTATTTTAATAAAATCAAAAATATTTAAAAATATTTATGGCTATTAATTGAGATATAACTGTTTTTTCTATTTAAGATATTAATCATTTAAAGTAAGGATTCTAATAATTTAATTCAATTTAATTTTTGATTCTTAAGTTTATATTAAATTTAATATATATATAGTTTATAATTTATTATTATTTTTAATAATATTTTAAATCTTATACAAGTCTATATAAGTCTATTCGATTTCAATTTTTAAAACTATAATTATAATTCACTATTATTTTTAATAGTGTATTAAATTTTATTTAAGTCTATGCAAGTCTATTTAATTTCAATTTTCAAATTTATAATTCTATATAGCTTTTTCTTAACAAATAACTAAAAAATATAATTGAATTAATAAAATGATAAGTTTAAACTAATAATAAAACTTCCTCTATCCTATATAAGTTTTATTTAATATAAATATATCTATTAAATATTTAAAAGTTGATTAATCAAAGTAGTTGAATTGATAAAAAAAAACCAGTAGTATTAAAAATAATACTAATAAAATAGTATTAATTTATATCTAAAATAAAAATAAGTTAGCTTATAAAAATACTTAATATAATAACAATAATATTCAAATATTTAATAAATTTTTATATTTAATGTTCTTAATCAATTAAAAAAAAAAATAAAAAATAAAATTATTTGATTATTTTTATATTTAATAAAAAAAAACTTTATTAAATATAAGAGAAATTAAACAACTCTATTATTTTTTTAAAAAAATTTTTTTTCTTATATACAGTATGAGTCATATATTTTTGGAATTTTTTTAACTTTGTATTTTATCTTAATATTAAATAAAAAAATCA